CGCCCAAACAAAACAGACACCAACCACCAGTGTTTTCAAACCTTGCCCACTTTAAGAGGAGTGGACTTAAACTCCCAGAATCCCCCAGCCAGCCATGGAATTCTGGGAGTTGAAGTCCACTCATCTTAAAGTGGCCAAGTTTGGACAACCCTGCCATAAAGTTTCCTGTAGTACCCAGCCAAGTGGCTCTTGGATGCTCACTGTCAGGGCGCAGTGATGTTAATTGCAGTGCAACTGATGTAGGCTGCATTCACACAGCATGCTTTTAACATATTTTAATTAATGAATATCTATTTTAATCAATATTTATTCTATTTTTACTGTAAACCGCCCAGAGTCACGCCACAGTGAGATGGGCGGTGACAAATTTGAAATATAAATAAATATATATAAATGCTTAGCCAAGACAGTTACAAACCTAGCAGCTGCATACATATAACATAGACAGTTTGGTTAGTCTTCATCTTGGTTAGTTTCCTTGGGCTTAATATATGAACCAGCCCATCTGATTAGTTTTTTAGTTCAATGTAATTTGTAAACCCATAAAGTGGGTTAATTCATTTACCAGGTTAAGAATGTTATGTGAACACCGTTATAGAGTGCTTCTGTAGATGGAGGCTCTGGCTATGCATTATTGGTAATAGCCTAATTTGCACAAAACAGTCACAATGGCTGGGTTCACACAACACAAAAATCAAACAAACCACACTATGGTTTAACATGTTAAGTAAAACTTTTCTATGAATGTATTTGGTACATCAGATTATTTGTGGGCAAAAGGTCTCATTCAGTTTGTCTTCCTGCCACCTCCACCTTTTTTTAAAATAGGATGGGAACAAAAGAATCACCATTTGTTCCAGAGCTGGAAAAAAATCCCATCTGCTTAACAGTGGGGAGAACTAAAGCTAGTTGGAGTCTGCAGTAGTTCTAAGTGAGACAGGATCATGGCCAATTTGGGATAACATTCTGTCAACTTTGGACGAAGTTTAAGAATCCACATGTCACAATTCAATCGTGTTGAATAAATAAAACACATTTATTGATAATTAAATATATATTTTTTAGAAAATTGACATTTTTATGTGCAGCTGTAATAAATAAGAAATATTCCTGAACACAGCCGTGTGGGCCAATGCTAGACATTTCTCTGTCATCTTCAACATTACAGATAATGGCATTGCTTTTATTAGATGTTTTCTTTGCCTACTTCTGCTGGTGTGGAAGATGCATCATTACTATTATGGCAACCTGGATCTCCAGAGCCCATCGAACCAAGATAGCGTCTTCTGGCTCAACATATATCAGTGAAGCATGACAGCAACCCCCACTCCCCTCCCCCCCATGGATCCACAAGAGCTGGCATTCAGAAATAGGCTGTCTTTAAACACAGAAGTTCCATTTCAGCCATCATTCCCAAATATATCTTCCTCTTTTAATGGCAGTCTTAGGTTCTAAGACATGCTAATCCAGTATCCTGAATCTAACAGTGGCAGGGAAGCCCAGAAGCAGGGCTCCACTCCAGGAACCCCTCCTTCTCCAATGTTTCCTTTCAAAAAATAAATAAGATAAACTGCATTGAACATGGAGGATTCATTTGGTCATGGTATAAAATTTGTTCACTCCTTTTTAACACCATTTAAGGAAGGGATTGCCAGCCTAATCTGTCATATTTCATTCAAAACAATCCCGAGAGTTTGTGAGCCTCTGGACCTTTCCCTGAGAGAGGTTTTCAGCCTCTAAGTAGCCACGCAGTCCTGGGATGAGAGGAGACTTCTTCACTGATTGGGACAGGTTCCCTATGAAATTTTTCATCCTGTGACCATCAGAAGCCATTCTGAGGGGGAGAGCAGCCTTCGTGATTGGCATTAGAACTGCATTCAGAGCTTTCCATCCTTAGATCTCATGGGTTTGAGAAGTAATAATAATAATAATAATAATAATAATAACAACAACAACAGCAGCAACAGCCCCCAGTGAGGCACTACTTGACAATTGTTGATAAGAAAGGCAAAGAAGTCTGGATAGTGGACACTGCAATAGCTGGAGATAGTAGAAGAGAAGAGAAAGAACTGGAGAAAATCACAAAATACAAAGACCTGCAAATAGAAGTAGAACGACTGTGGCAAAAGGAAGCAAAGATCGTACCAATACTAACAGGCGCCTTGGGTGCAATCCCAAAACATCTGGAGCACCACTTGAACACCATCGGCATTGACA